AACACTTTTGCCCGGATATCAAATCCGGACAAAACTATGCCTCATTGTCCGATTTAGAATAAACCGGCCACCTTTAGTCGTATTCCTACTTCTCCGTTTAAAAACACTTAGTATAAAATCAAAAGATCATAAATCGCTCGACTCACATCCAGTTTATTCTAATCCGGTCAATGCACCAGGCGGTTTATCCTTAAACCGCTTATGCCTTGTCCAATTTAAGTTAAACCGCTCAACTCTCTTTGTCCGGTTTAATCTAAATCGACTAAACCTTGCCCGATTTATATATTTAAATCGTCCAACTCTTATCCGGTTTAGGTATAATCCGGATAGTACTCATACGGTTTAAACTTCAAACTGAATAAAAAGGTGATACAAACAATTCATGCATTTTCAAGGAATGTAAGACATTTAAAACCACTCACCTTATGAAATTTCTTTTGAAACTCAGATGAATCCAACTTGTTTTACTTAGCAAATAAAAGCAATCCGGACAAACTTCCTCTGAATTCACTCTCAATGTTTTGAAAATGGCAAGAGAGGTGAATGGAGGCCTCACCCTCCTTTAATAACTTTCTAAAAAAAGAAAGGCGGCTAAAGCAGCCTCCACATACATACATACATACATACATACCTTCTCATGCATGCAAATATTATGCATACACATATTCATGCATACTTAAATTATTTATGTATGCACATATTCATCATATGCATATGCTTTCCCATGTTAACCATGCATGCATATAACCATCATACATATTTACACATTATTCATACATCCTTATGTATAAAAATTTCACATACTTGTATGATCAAATATATCAGATTATCATGCTATCACAAAAATCATTTAACAGATAATCATGTATTTATTACCTCGGGTGATAACCAGGATTCAGTTATCACACCTATAAACTCATATTGTCGGCTCATGTTGGCTAACCCTTCAAAATCATAGGGCTGGTTCATTTTGGCCAACGCTCTATTTACAAAAATGTTGTCTATATAAAAAAAATCAATATATCTTTATATATATATATATAAAAAAGTAAGTTCCAAAAGAAATGATGATGACACCCTAAGAATTGATTATTATATATTTCTTGCATTGAGGTTGAGTTCTGTGTATCCTACATTGATGGAGAGATGAAATATTGACAATTGACGATAAGATGAGGTTGAAGTGCCTTTGTTTTAACTCATGGGTTGATCATTGTATGTTTCATGTTTTCAACGGATTTCGTCTTTATGTTAAAAAACTAACAAAATGTGTCATTGTGAGTGCATTTTTGTAACGAATTGGGTTTCTATCACATTTTTTGAATAGAGGCTTAATTTATTGGGAAAAAAAGGAGTAAATATGGTATGATATTTTTTTTTCATATATCTTATATTATTCAATTACAATTGGTATGCAAATTTTATATCATGTACCAATCAATTATATTTTGAACCAACTAAATTATTTTTATCAAGTTTTTTTTGGTTGATACATGTTGGTACATTATTATACCAACATCACAAAAGTTAAAGTCATAAATTTATTTAAATTGACATCTTTACCAACTAGATTTAGGTGTACTAAAACTATAGAACATTCACATAACATGTTGCTATGTGTCGTACCACTTATCTCTACTTATACAAGCATTCAAATAATTTTCATATAATACAAGAATTTGAGGAGCGTCGATTGATTGTGGAGGTATGAACGAATTACTAAGGTTATGAGGGTTAGGTGAATCAAATTTTATATATCAATCCATATTATCATTTAGCAAAATTTTAAACAAGATAATGTAAAATCAAAATATGTTGTACAAGTACTTAAACTTAATAAATAAATAAGTCGATACGATATTATTATGGTACACGACTTCTAACACCACGTAACAAACAAGTTTAGATAGTTAGTACCAATTGAATTGGTACAATTGATATGAGAATTTATTGGTTTGTCTTGACAGAAAATTGACACCCCCAAAAAAAATACAACCGCATGAACCAATTTGTTACAAAAAGACAACCTCATAACACGTCTTATTAAGTTTTTAAAATAAAAATGGCATCCGCTAGAAACTTTGAAACCAGAGGGACTAAAAACATAAATCCAGTTTAATCTATATATTATTTTGTAAAATAAACAATTATTAATTCGAAAACAGTGAAGCATGAGAGTGGGGGTAAAATAGTAATTTCGAAGAGAATGAAAAATATCAGAGAAACGCTCTTCAAGACTAAAAACAGGAAGGAATGAAGACAGCCAAAACCCAACTGGTCCTCGTTTTTCCCATTTCCTATAAAACCCTCTTAAACAACTCCCTTCCTTTCCACCCACCCACCAATCTCTCTCTCTCTCTCTCTCCGCCGTTCATTTTATTCGTTCCAGCCATGGCACCGCCATCTACAGCAGCCATCATCAACAGAACCGCCAGCGATGGCGGCACGATCATACTCAACAAGTATCAACTGACCCGCCTTTTGGGTCGTGGCAGTTTTGCCAAAGTCTATCATGGCCGTTCTCTCATCGACGATTCATCCGTCGCCGTCAAGGTTATTGAGAAACCCACCATAGCAGATCCGACCATGGAGCCTCGACTTGTCCGTGAAGTCGCCGCCATGCGCCGCTTGAACCATCCCAACATTCTTAAGCTCCATGAAGTATTGGCAACCAAAACCAAGATCTATCTCGTCATGGAACTCGCCGCCGGTGGGGAGCTCTTCACCCAGCTCTCCCGCCGGGGACGGATGAAGGAAGCCACCGCCCGGAGGTACTTTCAACAGATCGTCTCCACCCTCAATTTCTGCCATCAAAACGGTGTCGCGCACCGGGATCTCAAACCTCAGAACCTGTTGCTAGATGAACAAGGAAACCTTAAAATATCTGATTTTGGGCTGTCGGCGCTACCCGAGTCCCAAAAGGACGGTCTCCTTCATACTGCATGTGGAACTCCGGCATACACCGCCCCGGAAATTGTTCGCCGGAAAGGCTACGACGGATCAAAAGCGGACGCCTGGTCATGTGGAATCATCCTGTTCATCTTCCTAGCCGGGTATCTTCCTTTCGACGACAGTAATTTAGCAAACATGTACCGGAAAATCCACCAACGAGAATTCGTTTTCCCGGATTGGATCCCAAAACAACCCAGGGTCATAATTCAGAAGCTGCTTGATCCAAATCCAAAAACCAGAATGAGCATCGAGACGTTAATGGGGCTGTCGTGGTTCAAAAAATCACTGAGACCGGAACCTCTGGAGTTATCCTCCGGTGAATCGGAAACAAACGAAGATAATCTGAGTTCGATCAAGTACAAGACGCAGATGAATGCGTTTGACATCATCTCCATGTCATCAGGGCTGAACTTATCAGGTATCTTCGAGGAGAAAATCGTGAGAAAGGAGAGAAGATTCACATCAACGGCGACCGCGGAGGAGATAGAGAAGAGGGTGGCAGAGGTGGGTGAGAGATTGGGTTACAGATCGAAGAAAATGAAAGACAAAGAGAGTTGGAACAGGGATATGGTTGGGTTGGTGAAAGGAAGAGTGGTGGTGTTGGCAAAGGTGTTGGAGGTGGCGGTTGAGTTGTTGCTGGTGGAGATGACGGTGGTGGGCGGCGGAGATGGTTTCGAATGGGAGGAATTGATGGTGGGGTTTCAAGATCTTGTAGTGTCTTGGCACTGTTAGAGATGGAGACTGATTACTGAAACAAGTTGTACATATTTTCTACTAGTTTTTGTTTTTCTTATGAAATCAAAACACAAAATTGCAGCTCCGATTGTTGTTTGTAAACAAATTAATTGAGTGATTAATTGAATTTCTTTTCCAATTTTATTCCTCAACGAAAGATTTGGTATGAAATAATTATGTTGGATCAATAAAGATTCGATACCCGTTTACCGTGTTGTATCGATCGGTTTTCTGAAACTAAAAATTATTTGAAGTTCAAAGAAAATATCGTGTGCAAGCTCTCAATAATTGCTTCAATGACTACTAAATATGATAACATAGCAGTGCACCACTACAATACTCGTCTTTTAGGTGCTAACTAACCTTTGGAATTATTAGCCGACCTAAAGTTTTTTAATCAAATGTGCGGTTATTTTACATTGTCATATAACTTATCAGTTATTTTTTTCACAAAACATAACTTATTAGCTAACAACTAACTATTATTGTTTCAAGCTAATGGTAGGAGAATGGTTTGTTTTTCGTTTTCGTTTTGTAGCCTGGGATGAGTTACTAGTAGGAACATAAACGGGTTTTCTAGGTGTCCAGGATCCAGCAACAAATCTAGCAAATCCCATGCAAAACCAAGGTCTGCAGGTAAAATATACACAAACCTCAAACAAACATGGTAAATCCCGTTCGAAATAAGATATGGAGTAGGATGTATGCAAACCTTATCTCTCCTCCAGAAACAGTAATCATGAGTCCAATCATGTTTATGATAAAAAGGGAACTTAAAAAATGTGCAGAATGATTTAACGAGAATCATGAAACTGAGGAGACTATATAGGCAATAAAATCACATGGAAGTTAAAACGACAATCTTGTAGTGATATATATAAATCTTTTCCAAGATTCAAAACATCTATATGAACATACAACAGATTAATCTAAAGATGCACCCAACCAACCATGGCAGTGTTCAAACTCATATGTGTTGGTGTTCTTCTAAATTTGACATATTAACGCGATTAAATCATCATTCATCATTCAAATCATGAAAAACCAAACCAACTATGGAATCAAGAGTTGCTAACCATGCTTCCAAGCCACTTTGATGATCCCTTTTCCACATAACTTCAAGATTCGCGACTGCTTTCTTTGAAACTCCACGTTTCATGAGAACAACTCCGAGTGACTTAAAAGTCGAATCATTTGGTTGAACACCAGATTCAATCATCTGCTTAAAGATCGTAACTGCCTCCTTGAATCTACCATCAGATGCATACAATCCAAGGACAAGATTATAACTCAACAAATCAGTCAAAAGTCCAAATTCTCTCATTTTTTGTGCTATCTCAAATGCTTCCTCAAAGCTTCCAATTTTCTTGTACATACACAACATCATCGCATAAGAAAACTCATTTGCATTCCCATTTCTTCTCAATTTCTCAAAAATCTCTTCTGCTGGTTTCACCATTGATCGCTCGGTATACAGATCAATCATGCAATTTGAAGAATAAACATCTGGCCCCACTTCTAACCGTTGAAGAATATAGTACGCTTCTTCTGCATCTTTTAAGCACCCAACTTTCGTATAAAGCTTGATCAAGGAATTACATATAACCGCATTCATTGGCAAACCCATCTCTTTCATTGCATTCACATAATGTAAAGCTTCTTCAACGTTTCCAACATCAGCATAAGCATTGATCAACACACCATAAACAACCACATCTGGTGTCAATTTGAATCCAACCATTTCTTTGAACAACCCCACTGCCATTTTCAGTTGGCCTAATTTCACAAAGCTTGAGATCACAGCACAGTATGGTATGCAATCACTCACCAATCCAGAACCCTGCATTTTCCTTAAATAGATAGTAGCTTTTTCTGGCAGGTCAGCGCTAGCTAGCATTTGGATGAGTGAATTGTAGCTGCACTTATCCGGGATCACTCCATATGCATCCATACTATCAATCAATCGGCATGCCTCATCATATTTCTTGTTGATGCCATAAGCCTTAATCATGACATTGAACTCGAGAACACTTGGATTTCTTCGTTCTTGACAACAGTTAAAAACTTTCTCGGCTTCCAAGATATGCCCACGCTCACCAAAAGCATCGATACTTGCAGAATAGCACTCACAACTCATTTTCCCCTGAATATGAAACCTCTTGAACCAAAACCATGACTTCTCAAGCATACCAGCCTCTATGTACATTCTAGTAAGTGAAGATTGTGTGAATTCATCTATTTCAAGATCCCTTTTATCCATCTCACTTACAAGTTCTTCTGCTTCAGTAACCATATGCCTTATTGATAGAGCATATAAAAGTGTACGAAAACTCACAGCATCTGGCTCAAGAGAAGCCGATTGCATCTTTTTAAAGTACCCTGTTGCCATAACGATATTGTCATGCTTAGCGTGCAGCGAAATAAGGATATTATACGTTCGTGTATCAGGTGGGCATCCAAGATGTTCCATTTTATGCATCAAGGATGCAACTTCATCTAACTGCCCATGATTTCCAAACATGTGAATCATTGTATTAAGTGTCACCGTATTTGGGATGATCCCTTCTTTAAGCATATGCTCGAATGTCTCAGATGCATCTTTAAGTCTCCCTGCTTTCCCATAAGTATCGATCAAAGTATTATACGTGTATGAGCTTAGACAAACATGGGATTGTGGATCACCACTCAAAGCTGCAACTTTTGTTGGTGTGCTATTGCTAACAGCCACAGGCTCAGCCTCGGCTAAACCTTTACGCATGGACCACTTTTTAAAGAACTCCTCAGCCTTTTCAAACTCTCCGGCAGTCTTGTACATTTGAACAACGATTCCCATAGTCACCTCATCTGGTTCCATCTTCCTCTTGTTCATCATATCTAACCAATACATTGCTTTCTCCCTAATATTACCTTTACTATATACGTCTATCAAAGTCCCATAAGTGGAATTTATGGCATTGATTCGATTCTTCTCCATTTCATCCCTCAATATCTCAAGTTCAACCCATCTACGAGCTTTGCCAAGAATCCGAATCATTATGTTATAATGAATTACATTCAACTCATAACAGCCTTTCCTCTTAAACCACTCGAAAATCTCCATGGCTCTTTGCCAATCTTTTTGTTCCTTCAAAATTATAGTCCTTTCCTTGTTACTCAAGGTCAATTCCCAAGGCTTAAAGGCTTCGTCTAAATCACCAACTGTTTCCAAAGCTTCCAATATAGCAGGAAGACACCCTCCATATCTTGTCCATTTCATCGAACAGTTGGTGTGCACTTTCTTCACCACGTCGTTCGCCCTCGCAGGTTCCATCCAAGACTTGGTATGCAACTTATCCTTCTCTAGCATACCCTTCCTCGACCAAACTCTCCCCTTGACGGCCTTATTCTTTTCAACTATAGCGTTTTCTGTGTCTGGGTTTTCAACCGAACCCTCTGGGTTCAGTTTTGGTTTATGGAGAACAGATATTTTCTCCAAATGGGATGGTTTTTGAGGTGGAATATTGTGTTTGTTGATGGGGGGTTGTTCGAATTCTGTTTCAGCACGGTGACGGGGAAGAGGAAGTAAAACTCCGCCATTGATGTTAGTGGTTTTTGAGGACTTGACTGAATGGAGAATCGGAAGACAATTTGTATCTAAATGCTGAAGCTTGAGAAACATTGCGTGTTAACTTTTTGTCGGGAACACAATTCGATGAATCAATACCTGCATCAGCCGACTTCAATCCTTGTAAATTTGCGAAAACAATGAATCCTTTATTTCAGTTTGCAATATATCAATGGGAGGTTCGGTAACACAGATATAAAACCGAATAAGCTTAATTAGACATCAATGCCGTTCTAGCTCAGTTGGTAGAGCGCGTGGCTTTTAACCACGTGGTCGTGGGTTCGAGTCCCACGGATGGCGATCTATCCAAGGTTCTATTTTTAATATTTCTTCTCCTACATAGTGCTAAAAAACCCGGCCAATTCAATAACCCGATCAACCAGGGGCTAGGGGTGAACAAAAAACCGCCAACCCGCGAAACCCGCCCAACCCGAACCGCTAACAACCCCGATTAAACCCAAACCGCCAAACCGCTAA